GCCAAATGTCCTTCAAAATGGACTGAAGTGCTGTCCTTGAGGCCTGCTCTCCCTGAAGTCTATGGACCTGAGTGGCTTCCAGGGCAGAAATGAATGTGGCCTCTTTCCAGGAATTATTCTTTTTTAAAAATTTATTTCACTTCATCTTTTGTTACTCCTCACCTGAGGATATTTTTTCCCATTATTATTATTATTATTATTATTATTATTAGAGAGAGAGAAAGAGTGGAAGGAAAGGAGGGAGAGAGAGAGAGAAACACTGATGTGAGAGAGATACATTGATTGGTCGTCTCCTGCATGTACCCTGACCCGGGGAGCCCGAGGGATTGAACCTGCAACCTAGGTACATGTCCTTCACTGAGAATTGAACCCTAGACCCTTTGGTGGGTGGGCCAATGCTGTATCCACTGAGCCACACCAGCCAGGACCAGAAATTAGTCTTTATTATTCCATGGGAAGTTTCTTGTTAAGGCATCTTTTCAGAGCCGTGGTTCTAGATTTGTCTTTGTCCCAGCCCAGCATCTTTGCTTTGCACTGGACGGCAAGCACAGGTTGAGGGAGACCCCTGTGAATATAATCTTATTCCTGGACAGGAATTGTTGCTCTCAGCTTTCCCAAGTGTTGAGAGTGCAAATATCTCAACGGGCATTTCAGAGGATGAATATGAGGACGTGGTGTTGCATCATTGAACACTGCAGGGTCTCTGTGCTGTGCGCTGGCCAGATGCTTTTTCTCCAGCTCCAGCTTCTCGAGTGTGCCACTGCAGATAAACTTGGGCCTGAATAAGGGATGTAAACAAGTACATTTGAGATATTTTCGTTATAAGTTCAGTTGCATTCTTCAGATTTCACTCATGACATTTGCTTTCTTATCTCTGCTTAACTTTTCATCCTCTTCAGATTTTGAAGCTCTCAGTTCTGAGAATGATACTGGGGAGGTGTAAAGTCTTGGGAGGAGCATAGACTTTAAAGTCAGAAAAGTGTTGGAGCCCCAGCTCTTCTGCTTATTGGCGTGGGGGCCTTGGGCAGCATACTTAATCTCTCTGAATGCCAGATTCTTCATCAGTGAAACAGTACCCACGCCAAAGGGTGTTGAGTGGGGTGGTAAATACCACGTGCCTGGTATGATGTCCAGCCTGTGGTGTATATGCATATGTTAATTCTCCTCTAGGTTTAATTTCTGATCTTCTGCAATGCAAGCCGTAACTTATAATTATGCCATTTCACATGTCAATACAATGTAAAATTACTTTTATTTTTAAGGAACAGGTTAATGTTATGAAATGCAGCCTTAGTTATAAAACACTAAATTTGATTTGGGCAAATATTACCCCCCACCCTACCCCCAGCCCATGTTGCCGGGAGAGATGAGGATAATGAAATGTAATTCAAAATGCTGTCACAGAATCCTAAAGCCTCTCTTTCCCTGCGAACAACTCATATTCTACTCTAGTAGGTATATCTTATCTAATCACATTTTGCTCTTAGAACTACAAAAATTACTTTGCAGTTTATAGATGACAGAATGGTGGTTGAGAAGCAACCAGAGCAGGTTGAGGTATTGAGGCCTGTGCTGAAGAATCACAATTAGATAGGCTCGTTAGCACTTTCATCTTCAGTTTTTCACTTTTCAAAAATAGACGTTTTTAAAATGTTCCATGGCCTCTGAACAGATATTTTCTAAATTATACACCATGATGAAGTATGTTTTTAAAAAATATACATTTTTATTGATTTCAGAGAGGAAAGGAGATGGGGAGAGAGATAGAAACATCAATGATGAGACAGAATCATTGCTTGGCTGCCTCCTGCATGCTCCACACTGGGGATGGAGCCCACAACCCGGGCATGTGCCCTGACTTGGAATCGAACTATGACCTCCTGGTTCATAGCTCAACAGCTGGGCCACACAGGCCGGACTAAAGATAAATTTAACTTTATATGGAAGAGTCAACAAAGGAAAACAAGAGAACAGAAAGGTCAGAGTTCATCAGTCAGTAATATTAAGTGTGGTGTATGGACATATTTAATGGGAGCTCAGACTGTCCTGATTACTGATAAAATTTATAGGGGAAAAAAAATCTAGCTTATATTATTTTCAAGAGTTGATCAGGCCAGTGGTTCCTGAACCTTTTCATCTCAGACCCCTTTATACTCTTAAAAATTATTGAGGACTCCAAAGATCCTTTGCTTATGTGGTTTATATGTGTTGTTAACTATCTTAGAAACTTAAACTGAAGACAATTTGAAATATTTATTCAGTAATTGTTTAAAAATAATAAACCATTGTGTTAACATGAATAATCTTTAAGTGAAAAATAACTTTTAATTAATAGCATTGTTTTGTATTTTCTGAAGTGCTAACATTTGCTTCTGCATACAGTCTGCATGCAGGCCATGAGCCTTTGGAAAAGTCCACTTACATTCAGAGAGAATGAGAGTGAACGGCAGATCACATCTCAGTGTCACTGTAAAGCCAGTTCTGAGCTCACAGCCCCGAGAGCCCCAGCCCACTCGGAGAGCCAGCCCGCGGATGGAGGGAAGAGTGCAGGCTTTGGAGTAGAAGCACCACCAACTGGTTACTGACCCCGCGACCTTGGGCAGGTTACTTAACCTCAGGGTCTTGATTGCACTATCTCTCAAGTGAGGGTTGATATGCCTTTCTGGTTAGAGGCAAAGTGAGATTAGCAATAACGTCTTTCACTTAACATGGGAGACACATTATCATAGGCCATGCTCAGAAATTGCTTGTTGCAAAGTTTAAAAATAATCGCAAGCAGTTAGTGTTAACTGTTGTGAGAGTTTAACTTCATTTTCATTTGTGGGGGGAAGAGGTGGTACAGGCAGGCATCTGCCAGCAAAAGCGCACTGTAGAGACCAACACTGTGTGCTCTGGGAGCAGCTCCTAACCAAGTCTTGGGTGGACGAGGCTGCGGAGGGTATTCTGGGTTAAGTGATGTCTTGGCTGATGTGAAGGAGAGGTCCGAGTTGGGAGGAAGATGGGTTAAGGGCGGTGGCGGGGGGGGGCGGGGGGGGAGAGGGGGGGAAGAGTCTCAGGCTTAGGAATAGGGGCGGGGGTGAGAGAAGGCTGCATGGTCGGATCCCTGTG